CTATTTGATCATACTTCAAGAAGAAACGTAAAGCAATAATACCAGATCTCCAAAAGCAATTTTACAATCTCAAATTAATGCTCTTCCAGTTATTCCCAAAACGTCAAGAGATTGTCGCAAATGGTGAAGAAACAGCCTGTGAGCGCAGATCATCTTCTGGTGGCGTGGTCCGAATTTTTAGCCGAATTCAAAACCCTGGAAAATCTTGTTCCAGCCGGTACAAAACTCAATTTCTTCCAGTATCATTCATTAGACGTCATCGCCTTCCTGTTGTCGATCTTGGCCGTTATTCTCTTCGTTTTATGGAAATTGTTGAAATTAATTTTGTTGAAAATATATGCTTCATTATCTCGAGTTAAGAAGACGAAGTTAAGCTAATTGTTCTCATCGCGGTCTACTTTCTTCTTGTTTGAATATAACATTAATAAATATCTGCCATTAGCAGCTATACTGTGCACAGCCGCGGTACTAGCCGTTTGAGAATCTATGTACTGATCAATACGTCACAAAAGTCATGTGGTAGGAGGTTTTTTCGATAATGTAAATGAATCGATTCCATTTTTCAGCTCAGGGGTCCTTCATACCTCTACAGATTTTTAAATTCATTGTAGCATCATTCGATAGTGGGCTCCTCTAACGACTTACTTAAAAACTTAATAGAATGCCGAACTAAATCGATATGGCTTGCAATATTCCCCATCTGAGGAATTCATGGGAACGAACAAACAATACACCACTGAGGCACTATACTATGCCTTCACAGCTACGCCAAGGTTACGGCGTGTGATTCGTACGTTGATGGGGGAGGAGGGGGCAAATGCACCTACCATGAGAAATTCTGTGCTCATGAAGAAACAAAACGTGGCGCTCCTACGGGCGGAGAGTAATGGTATGGCAAGACCTTTTCCGTCCCTACCGACGCCTTGTCATTCCTCTGCCCGCATACCGACCGTCCACTCTTAGGTGATTGTGCTGATCTCTTGCTGTCGGACAGCTGTTTCAGCAGTGAAGCAGAGCAGAGCATTCGCAATGATGACGTCAGCAATGACGACTCGTCCAAAATGAAGTTCAGAGAATAACTAGGCTTTGTTGCACGTTTTAGGCCATTTTCCGCAGTTTTCTCTTCACCTGCTCCACTCACTACCTTCACCCTTATAGGCAACGTCCAGGATTGTATGCTCACCTGTTCCATCCCCGATCGTAATAGACAGGAGACAAGTGGTGATGTTGCGCCCTCTCTGCATCCGAAAGTGCACAACGATGCGCTGGAAGTCGCTCGACTCGCAATCCACACCTTCATCCGCAAGCCCCGCCTTCCGCTGTCCAGCCACGTGACGCTGCGATCATAGATGTACCGCAACTGGAGTTCGCCGTTCGTGTAACTCGTCCAACGCGCCCTCTCCATCCCGAGGTGGAATGCAGCTAGAATGGGGGATCCTTATTCCGGGTATTATCGGGGGTTTCTTTTGCTTTTTTTCTTTTCCAGATGAATTCTAACCTCCAGCTTTAATACTGGACGCAAGTCGACCAATAGTGGTCCCAAGTACAGTCGACCAGTAATGGTTCCAAGTACAGTCACAAGAAATTAAATAATTAATTCCTCGATGAACGTAGAGATGGAATAATTTTTTGGCCCCTCCCCTGTGTGTTCAATGGAACTTTTTATCGCGAAGAACGGCTGCATGCGCAACTGATAAGAGATGATGCTACTATCATTTTCGAAACTTCCTTTTTTCTAGTTTAGCTCTGGTGGAAAAAGATCCTTCAAATTTGCATCATGTTGCACTTTCGTACTTAATATTTATAATAATTACGTACAGCCATGATATCCTTCAAGTTTCAAGTCAAGTAAAATCTCTTGTACACTGAAATTCAACTGCTCATACATCTGGGGGTTTCTCCGCATCAATGAATAAAGTGAGAAGTAGAAAATTAATAAATAAAGAATTCAGCGTTGATAGATCCATTTCTGATCACGCCATGCATTCCACTTCCATGCAGAATCGTAACAGCATTTGAATGCGAAGTAGCCTATACATACAGCGACATGCGGAGGGCCGTTGTATATGTCGATGTCATTCAAGAGTGGACGACCTGGAGGGCTTCAGGCTTGGTTGTGTCAGGCGAAACCCGCGGATCATGATCTACCTCTGTGCCCTCTCTGCTATCTAATCACTCGCCACGTATAGACCTGCGGCGAGTGATTAGATAGTCGGTGGGCGTACCCCGCCAACCGCGCCAAGAGTGAGCCATGCTAGATCGCCGAGGTCAAATCTTTCGCTGCCAATTGCGCGTCGGTCAGCACCCTCAGGAGGTCCGCCTGTCTCCCAACTATGCAATTTCCCTTTTCTTCTTGGCGACCTCCGCTCCTATCGTGAATTCGTCCTTTAATAGTGGCAGAAAATAATAAGGGCTCGATCATTTCAATACATTTTTGTGAAGTCTGTTTCGAAGACTTTTTGTTAAAATGTTCAATTATAAAGATTTGTGGCAGAAATTCGACATAACAAGAATGCTGGGTTGTGAACAAAACTTTCGCCCCAGGCGGGACTAGAACCCGCACCTCTCGCTTTCCGGGCAAGTGCGCTACCAGTTACGCTACCGGGGCACCATTTCATTCCAACTCAGCTTTTCATGGTATACGTACCATAGCTTGTCAGCACTCACACGTAGCTGGAAGCTTTAGCTATGAATTTTCCACTTGTTTTTGGTTGTGAGCTGCTTGGTTTTGGTCGCAGTTCGCCTTGCGTCGCAAGCCATGCTGCTTCGTTGTACTCATTCGTTACTGCGATAAACTGATAAAGCGATAACCTGCTGCTTGAGCGCTTGATAATCATGGTTAAATCCACTCAAGTGAGAGGCGAGTCTAAGGAATGGAACGGTGCCGTATCGTCCTTTGTGCGTCACTTGCCCCGGTAATGCAAGGAGGTAACGGGTTTCGAGTCGCGTCAGGTGCAACCCAAGTTTTTTTTCACAAACGCCAGCTATTTCTGTGAAACATTTCAACCAGCAAACTGTGGCCAAAAAACCTCAATCAACAATTCAAAACTGCTCACACCAATTCTCAAAATAAATTCCTCATCGTGGGTTTAATTCCATTCGAAAATTGTTCTCTTAAGATGCTCTCATTTACGTTCTTCATCTTGTTGCTCAGCGTTTGCTCAGTATCTTCCTTCAAAATGGTCATCTTTGTGATGGATTTATCAAATAGTCAGGTGTGTATTATTTGCTTATTTACGCAAAGGACACCAGACTGACCAGCAGGGTGGATACAATCGAGGAATTCCTCGACCACGCTTACCCTCTGTGCAAGAACAACGTCGAGAGTGAATCTACCGTGGAGAGCTACAGACGGCTCGAGAGCAGAGTGAATTGTCGCGCGGGAGAAATCGCGCCCTGAACAGCAGAAAATTTCTCGCAGAGTCGTTGCCTGTTTTCCTCTCTGAGCCGTTTCACGACTGCTATAAACCCCAGTGGATAGGGATCGTAGAAGGATAAATATCCGTCGTCCATTTTCCCAGCTCGGTCACTTTCGTAATGCGGCAATGCTAGGGCAATGAAAAACTGGGCGTGGAGAGGGGAGTATGAGGTGAGGAAGCACAACAGATGAGACTGCGTCAGAAAATAGTCAGCTGTGGCTAGGGGAAATCTTAGCTGGCCGAAGCTTTTTTGCAAGCCTTCAGAGCCCTTAAAAAGCCACGCTCCATGTGCATGGTTCACATCTGTGAGACCTATACTTGCGTAGCGAAAGAAGAATCGTCTGTCTTCCATCTGTCGAGTCCCGATTTGACAGAAACCCACTATTAATGTTAGTAGGCGGTCCAGGGCAGGGATAAGAAAACAGCCAAGACCAAATAACACAGATCCTAAAGAAATGGAATCCCCTTTGCTCCGCATCACTGTCACAAGAGCCTAACACTCTCTCCAGTGGCTTCCAAGCCAAACGGCGAGGAGAAGGGCGGGTACGGCGATAGCGGGCGGGACGGCCATGCCAAACCCGCTCAAAGCATATACATCGCTGCTAATTGCGCGTGCATCCGCATTTTTAGAAGGTCGCCTTCCTTTCCAATAAATAGGTTCCTCCTTCCATTTCGACTTCACCGTGGAATCCTCCTTGAAGCGGTAGTAATATTACACATGAGGAGTAATGGGTTTGAACATAAAGCAGTAGGCACCGATTGCTCATGAGGAAGGAGTGATGAGAGAGATTGCAAAAAAAAAATCTACGGGAAACGCAGACCAAGATGGAATGGGAGCGGACTAGGAAAACAGAGAGCATAACGGATGAGCGAGACGCAGATACCGCAACGGTGGATGTAAATCGTCGTACAGCGATTTTATGTATGGTGCGATGTATGCGAGTATGGTGCCGAGCTAGAAGTCCTTAGCGTCCATACTACGTGCTTTGAGTAGCGATTGTGACATTGTGTTAGGCGGCTGTGACCCTGCTGCCTCATTCAGTGCAGAACTGTTCCTTCCACGGAACTAACCGCACGATGCGCTTCCGCAAGTTCCCGCATGCAATGTCATCATCACGATAACAACATGGAGAGATTTTTTCCAGATAGCTTTATGGCCCAATTTTTCGGCACTATTTACCCTTTACTGCCCCACTCCTCGAGAACTGAGCCGGATTTTTATCGAAATTGGTCATTGACTGTGAATTTGGCCAGAAACTTGCCTTCGGGGGTAATTCGACCCGTAGAACACGAATATCACATTTGTTTACCGCTAGAACGCCTGGCGCTCGCGTCAGAAGCGCCGGCGCCAAAAGGCGCCAGAACATCTCGGATCCCCAAATTCGCTGGAAAGTTGTCCTCAGAGGTATTTTGACCCGTAGAATATGATTATCACATCAGTTTGTTACGAGTGAACCTGTAGCCTGCGCTACGAGCGCCCGCGCAAAACTGTTGTGATAGCGCGGCGCCAAGCGTTTTCGCTCTAAACCGGTTTCGCTTTATATTATATTCGTGATCTACGGGTCAAATTACCCTGAAGGCAAGTTTCTAGCAAAATCCACAGTCATGGACGAATTTCGATCAAAATCCGGCTCAGTTCTTGAGGAGTGGGGCATAAAGGGTAAATAGTGCCGGTTTTCCGTGTTGATAT